AGGCAATGTTGTTTGTTCTCTCCAGGGCCCCTGTCAGAATCTCACCTGCTTCCCACCAGATACCAAGTGTTTTGGGACTTGTGACCAGAACCTTGTGCCAGTCCCACTGCTCTGGAACCAAAGCATCGTGCAACAGCCAGTCTCCTTCCCTGATCTGGTGCCACTCTACAACAAATTTTCTCGGGACTTCATTGCTGACTGTGCACAAAGAGGCCTGCCCTTCCTTCTCTACTATGCCTCCCATGTACGAGAGGGGGAGGGCTATTCCAGGTTTGAGGGTGGGGGAGGAAGCCTTTGTTTAGCTCCAGAGAGCTGGGAAGCACCTCAGCTCCTGTGGTGTTTGGGCTGTGCTGAGCAGTCAATACTTGGATGAGGGATGGGTGAACTCCCCGCCCCTGGCTGATCTGGGGTCAGTGTTCCCATGCCCAGGTCCTGTGGCAGCACCATTCTGGTGATATTCTTGTGTGGGTGCTTTCTGGAGCGTTGGCTGTTTACCCTGGCCAGTAGTCCATTTGGGAAAACTTACTAGTGTCTGAGTCTACGCATCCTGCCCGGGACTCAGCTTCTTTGTACCTTTTCTGAGAGGTGTTTCTGAAACTTAGGGGCATGCCCCTTGTTATGTCTTGGGCATTGCCACGTATCTGCAGCCTAGCTGGGGTTTTTGCTGTCCCTGAGTGAGTTGGGAATGAAATGCAACTCTGGGAGTTTGTGTAGCAACCCTCTCTGCCTTTTCTCCAGCATACACACTACCCCCAGTTTGCAAGCCAGGAGTATGCAGGACAGTCACAGCGTGGGCCATTTGGTGATGCACTTTCAGAGTTCGATGGCTCAGTGGGACATCTGCTGCAAGCGCTGCAAGAGAATGGTCTTTTGAACACAACCTTGGTGTTTTTCACCTCTGACAATGGGTGAGTGGGCTCACTGGAGGGACTTCATCAATTGGTAAGATTGTACTACCATGATATTGGGCCCCATTGACATGGCGTGGCAGGTCCCAGGTGACATCCTAGTGACCTGAACTGAGGCAATGTTCTGGTGAGGACCTATTGCATGATCTCCTTGCTCCCATCAATCAGCTGTACTCCTCACGAGCAGAAGCCGCACCAGCTAGGTCCAGGACTATGCAGCCTGAATATCCCCAGATTCCTTTCATGTGTGGGTGGCCTCAATCTCTAGTGCCCTGCTCAAGTGTCTTGCACAGCTTCTTCACCCCTCCCATGCCTCCTGCCTCACAAGGCTGGAAAGGATGTCAGTGTCACTGGCACCGTGTGTTTCTTGTCATGGTCCCACTGGCAAGCAGGGAAGGGGTCGTGAGGACCTGTGAAACTGATGATAGGTAGTTCTTCTCTCTCACAGCCCTTCTACCATGCGGATGGCACGTGGAGGAAGCTCTGGCCTTCTGAGATGCGGGAAGGGCACAACATATGAAGGTGGCATGCGGGAACCAGCAGTAGCATATTGGCCAGGCCGTATCACTCCAGGTGAGACTCAGCACTGCCTGTGCCTTTTGTGTGCTTACACCAGCCAAGGCAGGGGTGTCATGGCAACTCAGTTGCCCTGGGACAAGCAGAGGAGGGGAGAGAAGTGAGGATGGTAGGGATGAGAGTGGAATCAAGCATTTGAACCGTTCTTTGTGCCTTGCTGTTGTGGGTGGCAGGAGTGACTCATGAGCTGGCAAGCACCCTGGACATCTTGCCAACACTGACTGCCTTGGCTGGAGCGGATCTTCCCAGTGTTACCCTGGATGGCTATGACCTCAGTCCAGTGCTGTTTGGATCAGGGAAGGTGAGTCCTGCAGGCCAGTTCTGGCTGGTGCGGTACGTGAAAGCTGGGTAGGAGGCCTGAGCTATGTGCTTGATGATCAGTGCCAGCTGAGGGGTCAGGGGGCGACCCGTGAGCTGGGAGATTTTGTCTGGTCTGCACCATGCCATGGGCTTGCGGGGTCTGCTCTGGGGCACACTGTAACAACCACAATATCTTGTGAAGCCTAGTCCCTGTGGCTGCAGTGGATGGACAGGAGCCTCTGTAGCAATGAGCAGGGAACAAACAGGATGCTGCTGCTCATTAGCTTCCCCATTTTCTGGCCATTTTCTGGCTGTAGTGTCAGGGCTTCTTTGTGATTCCCTGGCGCCTCTGCATGGTCTTGTACTTGGGCTCTTGTCCAGCTTCATGGCTGCACAGACAAGATCACTTCTGTTGCTTCCCACAGAGTCCCCGTCAGACCATGTTCTTCTACCCACCGTCCCCTGATCCGCTGCATGGCCCGTTTGCTGTCAGACTTGGGAAGTACAAGGCCCATTATTTCACACAAGGTTAGTCCTGCCTCCCCTCTGCATGGGCAGCTTTGTGAAGTCCTGCCTGGTTCTGCTGTCAAAAGATGAGTAACAGCTGGACATCTCTTTTGCAGGTTCCTTTCACAGTGATACCACCCCAGACCAAGCCTGCCATGGACTGACCCCACTGACCCATCATGTGCCACCACTGCTCTTTGACTTGGAGTCAGACCCTGCTGAGAACTATGATTTGTTGCAGAGTGCTGCAGGGCCAGAGATTTGGCAAGTCCTGAAGGACATCAAACTGCAGAAGATGCTTTTTGAACAGCACATGGAGTTTGGAGAAAGTCAAATCAGGAAGGGCAGGGATCCTGCTCTGCAACCCTGCTGCATACCAGACTGTACTCCCAAGCCCTCCTGCTGCCACTGCTCCTAGCCTCTTGCTGCTCCATCCCCTTCTGTTGCTTCACAGTGGTGCCTATCCCAAATGCGCCAGACCCTCCCCCGCAACTAATCGAGCTTAGCCTTGGAGCTACCTTGGAAGTTTGGCTCAGTGACACGTCTGACAGAGTGCTGGCATAGTGAGCTGCAGGGTTGGAAGGTTACCAACCCTGCTGGATGTGCAAGTATTTGTTGGACCTTCAAGCTGAGGTCTCTTGACAGAAACTCCGACTTGATCGGGGAGGGACCAGGATGTAGCATCATCACCAGAGCTAGCACAGCTCCTTTTAGACCATCTTTAAGATGAAGCAAAGGGCATGCCCCGGTGGAGATCTCAACTCTGTTGGAAGTATGCTGAACAGCTGAGAGCTGCAGCATCATCACTTTCTGATGGCTAAGGGAACAATGCAAGATGAACGATGAGATGGATGGTCCTGGCAGTTTACGGGGCAGGGTTCTGTACAGATACTGCAGAAGGTATATGTCTAGGTGGGAAGTCTCCTAGGGAGTTACTGAAACGCACCTGGGGGACAATGCAGTCATAGATCACAGCCAACATGGGTTCATGAGGGGTAGGTCCTGTTTAATGAATTTGATTTCCTTTTATGATAAGATCACCCATCTAGTTGATCAAGGGAAGCCAGGTGATGTAATCTTTTTGGATTTCAGTAAAGCTTTCAATACAGTTTCTCTTAGGATCCTACTGGACAAAATGTCCAGCATATACTGCTAGATAAAAACATGATGGGTGAACAATTGGCTGATGGGTAGGGCTCAGAGGGTTATGGTAAATGGGGTTACATCAGGCTGGTGGCCAGTCACCAGTGGGGTCCCCGACGGTTCCATTTTAGGGCAAGTTCTTTTCATTGTTTTCATAAACAACTTGGATGTAGGACTAGAGGGGTGTTTTGAGTAAATTTGCTGATGATACTAAGCTGGGAGGAGTTGTTGACTCTGAGGGTGGAAAGGCCTTGCAGAGAGATCTGGACAGATTGGAGAGCTGGGCGATCACCAACCACATGAAGTTTAACAAGAGCAAGTGCCGGGTCCTGCACCTGGGATGGGGCAACCCTGGCTATGTGTACAGACTGGGCAATGAGACACTGGAGGGCAGCCCTGTGGAGAGGGATCTGGGGGCTGTGGTTGATAGCAAGGTAAATGCCCTCTGCTGGAGCTGATTGCAACCAGGTGGGCTGCATGCACACAACAGAAAGAGTCTCCTCTTGTTCATGAGCTAGGCCAGCTTCAAGTTAACTAGTGAAATGCATGTGCACAGTGATCCCCCCCAGTAGCTGGCCCTAGACATGTGGTGTTTCCAATTGCTGGCTCCCGAGGAGCTGTGATTCCTTATGGCATTACAAGTACCTGGGTCTTGTATCCACAGAAAAGAAATAATCTTCTCTAAGGCCTTCTGTCTACTATAAGCAGATGTGGGGCACCACCTTCAGGTCAATTTTCAGACACGGCAGTTTTGAGTCCAGTTTGTTTGGAGCCGAGTTCTGGTGCCTATAAAGCCATGATCAGCGTCAAGGGCCTTGAGAACAGATATTCCACTTTCAGCCAGAGGCTGAATCTTATGCTTCTCTGTCATCGAAGGAACCAGGTTGCATTTACATCCATCTGCACAAGCATAGGTAGCAGTAGGAAACTCCCCCACCTCTCACAAGCTTTACAGCTGCTGTTCTTCAAGTCTGCGGTTGTTACTGCATATATCAGTACAGGCTGGGGGATGACCTGCTGGAGAAGAGCTCTGAGGAGAAGGAGCTGGGGGTCCTGGTGGGTGACAGGTTGGCCATGAGCCAGCAGTGTGCCCTGGTGGCCAAGAGGGCCAATGGGATCCTGGTGTGCATTAAAAGGAGTGTGGCCAGCAGGTCAAGGGAAGTGATCCTCCCCCTCTACTGTGCCCTGGTCAGGCCTCACCTGGAGTACTGTGTGCGGTTCTGTGCACCCTGGTACAAAAAAGACAGGGATCTCCTGGAAAGAGTCCAGCGGAGGGCCACAAAGATGATATGGGGCCTGGAGCATCTTCCCTGTGAGGAAATGCTGAGAGACCTGGGTCTGTTCAGCCTGGAGAAGAGAAGACTGAGAGGGGATCTTATTAACGTTTACAAATATCTTAAGTGTGGGAGACAGTGGAATTTGGCCAACCTCTTTTCAGTGGTTTGTGGGGACAGGACAAGGGGCAATGGCCACAAGATGGAGCATGGGAAGTTCCGCACCAACATGCAAAAGAACTTCTTCACTGAGACAGGCTGCCCAGGGAGGTTGTGGAGTCTCCTTCTCTGGAGATATTCAAGGCCCATCTGGACGCCTACCTGGGCAATCTGCTCTAGGGAGCCTGCTTTGGCAGGGGGTTGGACCTGATGATCTGTTGAGGTCCCTTCCAACCCCTACAATTCTGTGATTCTGTAAAGTCACTGCTCTCTTCTTTCTGGGGACCCAGTCCTGCTTGGAAAAATTGCAGTCTAAGTGGCTGGCTCCAGCCTTTCTCCTGTAACTTCCCAGCATTCCAGCATGCAAACAAGATACACCCATATAGCAATAGGAAGCAAGCTGATAAGAGGCTGATGCAGTATTTAGCAAAGCCATGGAGAATGTAGAGCTGAGAGGAGGAATATCAATACAACTATGTGTGTTTAGCCACATATTCCAGACTCCACAACAGATATCGCCAGACTTGGCCAAGAATTACAATATTACTCATTAAGAGTGGAGATAGTACGTGAGGTGAGTATGTGAATCCTGCTACAGGATGTTACTATGGCTGACATAGTGTGTGTAAGCTGTGCATTTCCACTGAGTTGTGTAGGAAGGTTAACCCTGCTTTGGTATGCTTGGCTTATTCAGCTTACACATCTCTGCTCATCTGCCACAGCTGTATCCAGCCTAGCTCCTCAGTGCTCAGACATGCATACTGTCTACAGGAGTTATGTTCTCTGGTGTGTGTCTTTGGGGAGAACCTGCTGGTAAGCAGCTGCAGAGAACAGGGTGGCAGTGACCTTCCCACAGAGGTTACAAAATCATGCTTTGGTGTCTCCTGCTAGCTGTCAGCAGGCAGTGCTTGGAGCCATGAGCTGTGCCTGCCATGTGGCCTGCACACGCTTGTGCCACCAGAAGAGCATTAAGAGGGTGTCTGTCTGGGGCTGGGCTGAGCCCAAGCCCAGCTTCCACCTCCTTTCCTGCCTGGAACCCCCCTATGCAGCCACCCAGGTGGCACCGGCACAGCCGTGCCCGGCACCCGGAACCAGGGGCTCTGTGACATCGGCGTTGGCGCTGAGGGCTCCGTGGGCAACGCGGGCACCACACCACGATCGGTTGCTGTGTTGGTTGCAACAAGCCCAGGGCACGAGCAGCTGCCTCTTGCCATTGGGAATGATGAATGTGCTGCCCTTCCTCCTGCTGCTGGCCATGGGCTGGCTTGTGCAAGGCACGTCAGGAAACTGTGGGTGAGTCGTCTGAGGCTTTGGGAGGGAGCCTGGGGGGACCCTTATGGAGTTCACTGGAGGATGTCCCCTTGTCCCCTGTACCACAGCAGAGCTTCCAAGACCCCATGGGGGAAGCTCGATTCCTCACCAGCATCCAGGCTGCTGGCACAACTCATCCACAGGGCTAAAGCAGAAATGGGCATGGCCAGAGACGACCCAGGGGCCCCGCTGTCCACACTGTGCCTCCTGGGGAGGGAAGGTGGCTCACGTTCAGCATGAACAGAGCAAAGGAAAGGCGAGCAAGGCACTAAAGAGTTTCTGATTACAGGACCTGCGGGCTCCGCCCTATGGCCAGGCACTATGGCATGATGCGCGTCGTGGGCGGCACGAATGCCCAGCCAGGAGCCTGGCCCTGGATCGTCAGCATCCAGAATCCCTGGTATTCAGGTGTTGGGCATGTATGTGGAGGGTCCCTCATCAGCCCACAGTGGGTCCTCACAGCAGCACACTGCTTCGAAAATGCAAGGTAAGGGCCCATCTGTTTCCCTGCAATATGGCCAGTGCCTGGGCACTGCAAAACCCAGCTGAGGAGCTGCTTGTGAGAAGGCTTGGTTCATACCAAGCTTCCTAGCAGCCTCCACGTCAATGTTCCTTGTGCCCAAAGCATACAAGGGCTATCACGGCCCTCATACCATTGCTTTCTTTTTTCCTCCACAAAGCAGGGGAACTGCTGGGCTGCTACAGGACATGGCTCTGCCTCCCTCTGACCCCTTTCTCTGTCTCCTTCCAGTTATGTCACGATGTGGCGTGTGGTGGTCGGTGCCAACCGGTTGTCTCAGCTGGGCCCTGAGGTTGAAGTGCGCAATATTAAGCGGCTACTGATGCATGAATACTATAGAGGTATCAAATCAGGGCATGACATTGCACTGCTGGAATTGGACAAACCTGTCCAGTGCAGTCAATATATACAACTTGCCTGCGTGCCTGATGCCTCGCTGAAAGTGATGGATCTGTCAGACTGCTACGTCAGTGGTTGGGGTTCCACAGAGCAAAGATGTGAGTTCCCAAAAACTGTTGTCCAGAGTGAAAGTTTAGCATGCTGGGGAGACGGGTTGGGCTTCCCTGATGGCAGAGGCACAACCCAGGATAAAGCCATGGGGAAGTACGCCTACAGAGAGATGGGCCTGACCCATTTCCCAAAGCAAGACAGAAGGGATACATCAGCACAGTGCCTCTCAAGACACAAAGCCAAGACTTAGGGAAGGGGTTCACCTAGGCGGGGGGGAAGAACTGGCAATGAGTTGCCAGGTGCCAATTCCTCTTATCTGCTTGCAGCTGGACGATCTCCTGATATCCTGCAGGAGGCCATGGTCAATCTCATCAACCTCAAAATCTGCAACAGCACTCAGTTTTATAGAGGGGCCATCAAGACCCACAACTTGTGTGCTGGTTATATGCAGGGTGGCATCGACACCTGCCAGGTAGGAGCATGCTACAAGCCAGCACACTGCCATGTATTTAGCCCTGACATTCCTGCCCAAATGAACACCAGCACATGTAAACCACCCTTCTAGCTGTGTGTCCCCACCACTTCCACAGCTCACCTCCCCTTTCCCATCTGCAGGTCCTTGCCCAGGCCCCCCCTTGTCCCACATCCCCAAGACTCTGCCCAGAGAGCCCATGCAATGTTCTTGGTGCCTGGTAGACCCACACCTGGAACACCCTTCTTCCCACAGCTGGGATTGTTGCACAAGAGATAGGGGAGAGACAGAGAGACCTACCTTCCATGCCCACAACCTCCTCCCAGAAAAGCCACTGTAGGCCTCAGAACCCAAGCAGACCTTTTCTGTGCTGTGAATGCTGCTCTGGGAGGAGCTGGGAGAGAGGAGCCAGCTCTGCTGCTGACAGTGGACACCTAGTAACAGCTTAGGCTTCTCTCCTCTACTGCAGGGTGACAGCGGTGGTCCTCTCGTGTGCAAAGATAACAATGCTGACTACTTCTGGCTCGTTGGCGTGACCAGCTGGGGGACAGGCTGCGGTAGAATGTATCGGCCTGGAGTATACACTTCCACTCAGGACTTTTACGACTGGATCTTGGTACAGATGGGACTGCGTCCAGTGGGAGAGGCTACTTCAACACCACAGCCAGTCGTTGTCTCAACCACTGTCCACAAGCCAATACCATCACAATCATCAGGCCCATTTAGATCATGTCCATTTCCACGCCAGAAACTCTCGGAATTCTTTAATTTGTTGCAGGATCTCCTGCAGGTTCTAAGGAGAAATAATGCTTGAGCAGCCGGCTGAGCATGATCCAGTGCAGGCTGCAGCGTACTATAACCATTTTCTTCAGGGGCAATGCCTGGTAATCCAAAGGCAGCCCCAGTGCCAAAGGCCTGCTCTGTCTCGCCCACCCTCCTCTGACTACACAAACACTCAGTTTTACTTAGTTCAAGAAATAAAGCTGCCTATTTTCACAGCTAACCATGCCTCATCCTAATTCAATCTCCTGTGCAAGGCAAGGATTTCCATACTTGGCACTTGCAAAATATGCACACTGTAGGCCACAAAGGGGAAAGTGTCACCCAAAAAGGCTGAAGCCATGCCTGCTGAGGGAGGAGGGTGCAAAGGGACAAGGGAATGCAGGTAGTACTGGCCCAGAGATCTCAGGGACAGCAGCTGGCAACATCAAGTATCCCCAGAGCCAGCTACTGGTGGGATCTGTGTGTGTCTGTGCGTGTGTGTGCACAATGCATCTGTGAACTTAAAGGTGGACTAGCTCATGCACCAGGAAACTCAGATCTGGAAAGACCCAAGGCCTGTCTCAGTGAGTGGCTGAGGAGCTTGACATCCAGCCACAGCTAGTATATGGACTTAATTCTCATGCTATTATTTGAAGGCTATATAAATCTGCTCTGAGTGAAGCTGCATGTGTATTTCCCCACTGAACACCAGTCCTGATAACTTTAGAGACAGAAAATTACGTGTTTGTGTTCACGATCATGTAAGTGGTGTTTATGTTTACATGAGTGCTGGTAAGGACCTTGTTTTACTGGTGTTAGTCTGTTTTCCATCTGAATATGAGGGGGCACTTTACTGTGAGGGTGACAGAGCATTACAGCAGGTTGCCCAGAGATGTTGTGAAGTCTCCTTCACTGGAGATATTCAAAACCTGCCTGGATGCCATCCTGCACAATGTGCTCTAGGTGATCCTGCTTGGCAGAGGGGTTGGACTAGATGATCTTCAGAGGTCCCTTCCAACCTCCACCATTCTGTGACTGTGTGATTCTGTTTTGCCATCTGCTTTAATGGTATACATGTATGTCTCCATTTGTGTTCTTGTACCTGGCTCTTTGGAATGCATACTACATTATGCATACAGGAGCAGCCACATCCATCAGCCTGGGATGGAAAAAAGTCTACCAATCTAGTTGCCCCATAACAGAACGGGGAAGAGAAACCCGAAGAAACTGCAGCAGAGCTAACAGGGTGGACTGAGAGTCAGCACTGGCTAGGTTGTGAAATGAATGGGGAGGGCTGGCAGTTGAACTCTACAGTAATTGGACTGCCTTGTAAAAAAAGTGCAAGAAGAATCCAAGTTCAAACCTTTGAAAAAATTTTAGTGTTTGTTTTCTCCAGTAGATACTACTAAAGCATCTGGGTAGGTCCCTTCTCTGCAGGTCCAGCAGTGGCTTAGCTCTCCCAGCAAGCTTTGCCTTGAAGAAGCATGCAGTAACTCGTAACAGTGTGGATACTTCACCCTTTCCTTGACCGTGATGTGCAGGAGGTTAGGGCCCAGTCAACGAAGGTCATGGTCAGGCCCCCACAAGAAGGAGAAAGGCCCAGCTGCCCATCACCAGAGTTCTCATGGCATGAGAAAAATTGCTTTTCTCTGTGGAGGACAGCTCTAACTAGCCCCTGACAACTGGAGCAGAGAGAAATGATAGACTCAGGGTCTGGTCCTTAGGCAGATGGGGGCTTCTCTTCAGGAAAGCTCTCTTCTTTATCCGACAAATTCTCACTCTTCTTCTCAAGGTCAAAGCTCTGGAAAGAAGTAGGACAAGGAAATGCTGAAAATCATGACAGCTAAACTCTGCTGTGATTCTTTCAAGCTCAGTCTAGAGCAACATGAGCTCTTCAGAAGGTTGCTACTTTGCCCCTTCCAACCTAGATACGAGCAGCACACAAGCCTAGTGGTGTCACCAGCATAAGGCATATCTCTCCTTCCTGCAAAGTTTCACCCTTTGGTATAAATTCTGCTTTTACTGAGGGGCAAAAGGGCAGAGTTACTAACCATTTAAAAGAGGAAGGAGTGCAGGAAGTAGGGCCTTTCTTACCTCCAGTTCTCGCATGACCTCATCCATGAAATCTCCTGAATTCTGTTTATAAGCAACTGCCAGTTTGATAGCATCATTGAAGAGCTGATGAGAAGGAGAACACTTGTCACTCAAAGCAAAGGGCACTGGGTTTCTTTAATATGTGGAAACTGCACCCATACCCCAAGGAAAAACAAACAAACAAACAAAAAACCACTCTACAGCTACCTCTAGTTATCATGACTGTCATGAGTAGCCAAGCAGAAGTACTAGCACATTTTCTATTCTCTGTGCCTACAGCAGTCTCCATGTCCTTGGACTGTACAGAGAGGTCTCACAGACACTGAGCCAAACAGCTGTGTTTTACCTTCACTACATTAGTGCCATCTGCAGCAGACACAAAGTAAAAGGGTAAACTGAACTTCCGAGCAAAGTTGAAATTTTTCTGGGTCACCTTCATATCCGCTGGAGGAAAAAAAGGAAAAATGGTCATTAAAGTATCACTGTAGGCAGAATGTCAACATATGCAGGGATGATGGAACAGATGGAGACCAGAGTCTGATTTAGCTGTCATGGCCTGGTCTCTGCAGTACAAGGTCAGGTGAAGCCAGAGGGTTTTAAAAGCAACAGCAGACAATTGGCAAGAAGACAAAAAAAAAGGAAAGAGCTCTTGTTGCTTTATCGATGGTGTTTTACTGCATTATAGATAGATTCTGATGTGCTATAAATGCATAATGTTTTGCAGCTCAGAACATATCAGCTCACTCGCTTTGCAGCAACTATGAATATTTTCTAGGTACATCCCTGTGATTTTGCTGTGTGTCCATGAGACCTGGATACCACTGGCAGCACAAACCATGCCTCTCCTTCCAGTTTGGGTGTTTTAACCATACTTGCTCACTGCCCTTATGTTATGTAACCTATATTACTGTGAATCAAAGACAAACTCACAAATGAATAATGTACATTTTGTACAAGTGTACAAATGACTCAACTGTTATATATGTATATATATATTTTTTTACTTAGCAGGCAATTAGGTCCAGCTACTCCAACATCAGTAGGCCAGAGGCTTTCAGTTTTGGAATAAATTTACTTCATATTTATAGAACATGCTGACACAGCAGTAACAGCTCAAAGTTTTGACTAACAGACAGCTTGTATGCACAGAAGGAGGATGACTCCAGACAATCTTGCCTCTCTCACAGAAGCAACAGCTGAAGTAGTTCAGACCAAACACCTGCCAGTGAGCACTGCCCAGGCAGCCACTCTCTACCTCCTTGCAGGAAGCTGGCTCCACCATTTCACAGGCTGGGTCTGTGTTAAGAATGATCGTTTCCTTGTCCTGATGGAATACAGCAAAGGCAAGGGAGAAGACTTTCTTGGAGCAGTGTCCACTCTCATGTAGAACACTAGGAGCAGGATTCATCTACACAGAAGTAGTATCTATAATATGACTGTCAACAGCAAGTTCTTTTGTCTGGACTTCCTGTACAGTCCATGCAATCAATGGATTGAAGGTTAACTTGACACATCCTGTAGGAAAGGCTTTTCTTAGGTAAGATCATCATAGCCTAAACCGCACCACTGAATCAAATGAACTTCCACAAACTGCAGTGGGAGCCCAGACACCTTATTCAGATGGAGACACCTATTCATAGCTGTGATGACTTTCCACCATGAATGTCAGCAAGGATGCCCCTGTCTGACATGGTACTTTACAGAAAAACAATAGAGAAGGAGACTGTGGACCTATGGATATGTCTTCTCTCTTAGATGCTGAGCAGAAAGCCAATGCGTTATGCACTCTCACGGAATGCAGAAGACAGATCACAACCTAAATAACAGCAGTTATGAAAGCCTAGCTAGCATTCCTAAGAGGAGGCAATCATCCAGTCATCTGCAGTAGAAGGTGAACAAGTTTTCCAGCAGGTATATTTAGATACTGTGGCATGGAAGAGTCCCATGGAAACCTGCACACTAAATTAGCAATGCAAAGGCATTTACTGACTGCATCAGGGAAAGCCGCAGAATAGATCGTGCTCCTTTTCCACCAAGACATCCTATAATTTTTGACTAAGTACTGCTCCAGCTTTTGTGTACTTGCTGAATGAAATGGGCAGCATGGCAAGGACAGAATTGGAAGGACATCGCTTGAATAAACTTTAAATGGATCAAATTTGTATTTTAATTGCTAATAAAATAAGGACAAGAGCTTATAAGACACCATGAAGGGCTACAAGAGGACCCAGCTATTTATTTGGTAAAAGACAGCCCTTGAGGGACTAATATTCAAGAACTTATCTGGATCCAACAGATGAATGACATTCTTTTACAAATAGGTAAGAAGAGAATAACTTCACAATTCTGGGAGGCTAAAAGAGGAAGATATACTCACCATCAATTTTATTGGCTACCACAATGCAAGGGATCTCTGGGCGGAATTCTCTCAGCTCCTTGTACCAGCTGCTCAGGTTCTTGTAGGTGACTTTTCGCTGCACATCAAACACCTTCCAAAAAAGAACCAGCTATATCATGGGTCCAACAGCTCCTGATAAAACTACTGCACCAAACATATGTACAGCATCCATAAAATTTTCCCAGGAGGACATCAACATGGGAAACTGGCCTTTGTTAGAAAGCATGTAAGAGAATATGGAGAACATGCAGCAAGCCTTGAAATATGCAGCCAGCCCCGTTCTTTGCATGATGCAGGCAACAGTCCCCCATTTTCCTTTACATGCTTATTTCATTCAATTTCATTCAATGACACTTTATCACCCATGACGTATCACTGGGAAAGACCTGTTCTGCTAAGTCAATAGGGTCAGATGTGAGGCTTCTCTAATATAACAATTACATTAAAATATCAGTAAAGTTGACTGATGCTCACAAGTGATGAGATATAGTGAAAAGTTAGAGCACTAATACAGACCAAGAGATCTAAGTGGGTTAGGAGTCAGAAAAAAAAGCTCATTTGAGCTAGAAAAATGGGAAGCTCAAAGTATGTGAAACTAGTAACGGCAGAAGACCAGAAAAGAATATCTTATGTAGTACCCCTGCAGAACATATTAAAACAGTTTTGTACTACATAATTCAAAAGTGACATTGCAGAGCAACATTAGAGTGCCATTTCCTTCACATCACCTGACAGAACTGCTTCTAAAG